TTTGCCCACCTCCTAGATTTATTTTATTTGACTTTATCTTTGCTAGCTGTGCTTGCTCGCGCGAGTCAAAGTTTAACTTGAGCCTATAAATAAAACTTATCGGCTCAATTTGTCTTGCCAGTTTTCACAATTTAAAACACTCAGACTTTTGTGGTATTATTTTAGTAAAGAAGATGGGATGATAAATCCCTCGGTTGTCTTTATGGAGCCAGAATTTAATATTTTATATAGTTAAGTTCCGCATAAACGTATTTTGTCAATAGTGTAAATTTACATTCATTTAAATTTATGTTTGATTCAGAAATCCAGTGTCATCATCGCTAAAAGCCATGGTACTCTTAATAATGAAAATTAAATATTTTGATTTTAAAATGCCATACTGTTGGAAACAACAGAAGAGATTTTTTTTAAAAAAGGCTTTTGAAAAAACATCAGAATTCGGTAAATTACGTTAGAAATTCCGAAAACGCATCATTCGAAAGATTAGTTTTCGATCTATCCAATAGTGTAAAAATCCAAATACTGAGATGATTAACTTTGATCATTAAACGATTACATGTGAGTAGTATTCAACACAGTAGTAAAATAATCTGTATTAAGAGTTAATGAAAATTTCCTATGGATTATTGTACTCTCATTGAAAAGACGTATGTGCAGAATAATTCAAGAAAATGGAGTTGAAGAGGATCAAAAATTCATTTTAAGTTCTAAAAACAAAGAAAGCAAGTTAAATAAAACTGTGTAAAAATAACATTATGAATAAGAACAACGAAACCCGTGTAGATATTTATATTTCAAACATTTTACTTATTTTATTTTAAGAAAAAAAGTGATTTACAAAACCGCAGAAGTGTCATGGACGATACAATAAAGTTGATGGGACCAAGTAATTACCGTTATTATTTCGACATTTTCTTGATGCCTTATAATAATCGCCATAGATTCCACTAGGGGGAAATGCGTGAGAAATAAAGAGTCGGCCGTAAATGCATTTTTGATTGCTTCTTTGCGGAAGGAAGTAGAGAACCAACTGACGCATTCTACAAGTTGCAAGAATGTATTTATTGCATATACCGCCTAATCCAGGTGCGTAGGTCATCGCACGAAGGGAGTAAATAAAATTGTTGCAATTAAATTTGCACTGCTAATTATCATTTACAGACTGTTTCAAAAGATAGCAATCCCAATATTAAGGATAAAGAAAACTTATTCACTGCAGTTTTCTTAAAGAGATTTCTTATAAAATTTGAAGTTTTTTACGTTATTACTGGGAACTGAAATATACCTTATTTCATTTTTTGCAGATATATATATATATACATATATATATATATATGTAACATGGACTTGTGATCAACTGTGCAAGCGACATTTATCTCTATAGTATATACACTGACGAACCATCGTATTACACGTAGAGAACATCATGCAGAAATACCTTGGCACTGCTGCTTCATTTTGGCGCATATAAGAACGCGAACCTGAGATATTTATAGCTGGATGCGCAGGCTTCTGTAAGCAATTGTTAAAAGTAATATAGTGGGTAAAACTCGTTGTTTAGAAACCTTCAATCGAGAACAAATCACAGGTGATTGACGAGCATTCAATTTCAGAAATACACTCAAGTTTTGAAGACTGCAACATTACGAAAGAACCAGGCGAATAATCTGAAATTTACAGGAAATGCAAAGCGGGTTATCATATGCAGATGAAGTGATAGCATATGTATAGGCCCAGCAGATCCCTCTGAAGTGTTATACAAATAGATAGCTGAAGAGGACTTTAAAGTAGAGCTTTATAACCTATCAACGCGATATGTTTTATAAAACTTCATTATCTTTCTCTGATGGTAAAAGTCTCAGCATAAACAAGTTGCGCCTTTGAATGGAGATGAGTTATCGGCCTGTGGCAAACAAGTATTTTCCCGTCGTAATGAGTCTGTGGAAGCAGTTGGATCTCCACACAGGACAACTTGGAAATCTACCAATGGAACATAGAATGTCATATATGCATGGGATAGCACAAACAGTGGTGGACGGCATGATTGCGATCTTCAGCTCAACTGAACTGTTGTCACAAATTTGAAGCTCTGCTACAGATGTACTGTTGTCAGAGTCAACAGATCGGCGGCGGTTGCTGTATCAAGGATGGCAAGCATTTCTTTGCGTAGATTTCCAATTGCACAAAGCTATACCGCTGATACCTGCGTCTACAAGAGGTTCGTCAACACAGCCACTGGCGTCGCCGATTGCCAACATTGTCCTTTCCTTTGCATTTCGCTTTAGTTTGGAGAACAGCGACGGTCAGATACACATTACATGCTGTAGGATTGAATGTCACTTACCGTTCATAGTATATTATTCAATGTTATACTAAATGATCACCAAACGTGAAGGTCTGGGGCGCCAGTGGACATTATGTGTAAACTCATCTTCAAAAACATATGATACTGTCTTCAGCAGCAGTTATATCAGAGAAGACATAAAGCTCAAAGTCATATTCTTCATTCAACGTCTTCCTAGAGGTATATTTCAACATAACAATACTCATTCACATGTTGGTAGAAATATTCAAGACCTCTCAGCATGTTAGATACTGCTTCTTGCTTGGCCTACCGTTCATCAGACATGCCGCTTATTGAATATATCTGGGATTTGCAAGCAGGTAATTCGTTCGTGACAATCATTACGGAGCAAGTATGGTTCATTCTTGGCTCGGACAGAAGCAGTATGGATATCATTTGCTTCTCTCATCTTAGATACAGATTTAAAACTTGTCTGATTCAATGTCACGATGAGTTCGAGTTTTTACCGCATGGCAGCTTCATAAAATTCTGACCCTTGGCATTTGATATTCATGCATTGCCCTGTAAGTTTAAGCTCTTCTTTCTATTACTAAAAATGGTATGTGGAATTAATTTCATTGAACTCGGATTGTTACAGTTTTCACAAACTGTAATATGGTTAGAACATTGATGTTTTTTAATTCCACAATGTGAAAGAAGTCTATAATGAGTAAAAAAAAAGAGAAAAATGAAAAAACGTTATATAAGAAAGACTAACAGGGTAACTGCAAGAGACACGCAGCTTTGAATAATCCTGGTCTTCTAAGACTCAGCCGTATTGTACGTAGCTAGAGACACCAAACTGTAGCTCATCACATCACCACCCAAATAAGTTAAGAATCAGATTGTTAATAAAAGAAGTGTCCAAGCGATCGCTTTAGTCGTTTTTGACACCATCAGAAACCGAAGAAACTTCTCTCTACTCGTCATTGGGCTTAACGGGTCTAGCAGAAAGCTTCGAAAGGATCATAGATAATTGGAAACAAAATGCTTGGAGTGATCAGTCTTAACACCACCAAGTGCATTACGCTGATGGTATGCAATGAATATGACTCCAGCTTTACGAAGTCATTGATCCAGCGTGCCAGACTGGAGCTAAACAAAATCATAACGGCTCAGTGATGATGTCGAGTGTTTCTCTTGGTAATGTTTAGTACATTTGGCACTTATACAAGCACCTTACTGCTAGGTATAAGTACTTGTGATCGCTTAACATTTTGTGATACTATTTAATTACAAATTAACGCCACATCAGAAAATCTTTGCCTTATTTAACAATTAAATTAATTTGCAAAATACAGCAAGACTTATCGCATGTGTGCGAAGCCTGTAACAAAAATCCCTTGCAAATATGAAAAAAAAATTACGTTTTTACGGAGCTCGGTAGTCACAGAAGTGTGCCCTCGCCAGAATCTGAATCACGTATCTTCCAGCTGCTAACTAAATGTACTAACCGCACTTAATGGCAAATACATCAATTCTTTTTAAGTGGACACCTGTGTAACCAATAGACATGGATAATTATTGTTAGGATTATTAAGTAGCATCAATTTCTCTTCTGCCTGAACATTAAATTTATATGGAGAAAACACTTTGATTTCAGATAAAAATAAATTTTTAACAACTTTTTCCAAATTTAATCCGTTCAAAAATTAACAATGAATGGAGGTCTTTTTTTTTTCAGTAAAAATATAGAACTTAATTAAGAATTGAATGAATCTTAGTTGTAAAACATCGTTTTATTGGCTCTCGAGAGTTTTAAAAACACGAATTTCAATTTCTAAATTCAGTACTGCACTGGTTTAATCAATATGTCTGCTCACTTCAGGTTCCCTACACCAAAGTACCACATTTTACATAATGCTGTTTTTCGTTTAACCGGGGTATACTGCATGTACCTCGAATCTTTATAATTTTCAGAGAATAAACTTAAATAAAACAATCAATTCTATGACTAGCTTTTATTACATTTTTTCAAAGTAATCGCAAAAAGTATAATTTTGTTCATGGGTCCATATGTTCCGACCACATTAATACTGCACAGATATCTTACCATTAACAATTAAAAATTAATAACGGCATTAGAATTTCATTAAATAGCAAAAAATTCATTCAAATGCAGAGTATTATTAATCAAATAAACAATTAATTCCATGATGCACATTCTAAAAGTTTAAGAAAATTATCTTAAGTTTTAAAAATAATTTAATTTTCAGTGGTAAAGAACTGCACATAATTAATTCAAAACTACGAAATAAAATATTATTTTTCAGTTTTGCGTAAGAGCAAATATCAGTTTCTAGAAGTATTGCAAAACCAAACAAATGAAATTAGTAATAAATTACCTGTATTCAGCGAACACCATAAACCAGGAAGAGATATGAAAAAAAAAAAAAAAAAAAAAAATTCCACATACAAATCTGAGACTAACTAAATATTTTTAGATAACGATAACAATGCAAATATTTTCACAGTCTTTCGAAAACACGCGCACACAATTTTATCGAGGAATTATATTTCTCCGCACGGTTTTTCACGCACAGTTGCCATGACAACCGCCGAACGTCACAGCAAAAGTTTTGCTACAGAATAACTCCGCGATACGTACAGTCAAGGTTACTTTTCATTATTCGTAAAGGAGGATGGAATAACTTACCTGCGTTGAAACTTCGCTCGTGCGAAATGTCGTCGGGCACGGATTTCCAAATGCACAACCGAGAACTCAGAGAGCTGACCTCCAATTTGAAGCAGACGATGGCGACGCACTCATAACCGGCGAATTGTAGGGTTGCAAAAAAGGATCAAGTGGGGCTATTTTTTCCTCGCCAACTGCGCGTCTGTGGGTGGAAGATTTATGTTAATTGCGTAAAATTTGAGTCAGAAATCCTGTTATTTTCTTGCCTTTTTTCCTGGAAACTTTGGTTTCTTTTGGAAGAAAATGAATGAAAAAAGCTTGATAATGTAATTTTATGCGTAAGTTTCAGTTAAAATAATCCTTATTTACTAAGCAATTTGAAAATCAAAATAATTTCTGTTTATTAGGAAATTGTCAAAGGGTATCATGAATGACAGGGCGCATGCATCATCTAGAAAAGAAAAGCTTTCTCGTAAAAAACTAGAAGACGAATCCCAAATTTTCTTGAATCCGAATCCGAATCTTAGAAGAGTTTCAGTCTTCATATAATTATGAAGACTGATTCTTATATGAAGAATGAAACGAAAGGGATAAAACTTTCAGTAGCTCTTAGATTTTTTTCAATTAAAGTAAAATTTTAAACTTGCATTTAATGAAAATAATTAAGAATAACTTTTAAGAATACACACCTCGTTTACAAAATTTTAGTATTTAAGAGCATGGAAATTTGAAACTTGAAGAAAACAATATTCTTACATCTTTAGGTTTTAGCATAGAATTGTAGCAAGTCTATAGAATGCTTGACACCTACATAAGGTTGCTTGCTTCCTTCATAAAACTCATGTTTAGGAATACTGTTTAGGTTTATGTTTATGGTTTACAGCAAGGTTTCTTAAACGTTTTTCAGTCATGACCCCTTTTTATCACTGAGATTTTTTGAGACCCTCAGGATCCCATAATATTTACGAACCCCGTAATATTTACGAAAACTTTGTGAGACCCCATAAGCATTGCGCAAATCCGACACACACGTGTGTGAAACGGTCAATTTTTTTTCACTAGTACTGTAATATACTATTGCAGTTTTAGGTCATTAATATTAATTTCTAATTTTAAGACATAGAACAATCTGTAAATTTTAATTAAGTAACAGACAAAATGACAGCGTCATGTGCAAAGCAAGTAAAATGAACATTTCTATTATAAAAAGAATGCGTCGAAACGTTTTCCTTTTTTCTTTGTCTGCATTGTCTTATCTTTATCTGTTTTCAGATACATTGTGTAAAAATATTTGGTAACTATAAAATTATTATAATAAGTTAAAGAAATATCAAAACTGCTTAATTGTTTGGCGACCTCCCTGGGGGTCATGACTCACAGTTTAAGAAATGCTGGTTTACAGTACTTTTAAATAAAACTAAGGTAGTCGAATATTTTAAATTACTCTCAGAACTTTGACTCGCCATTCTAAGTATCTCATTATATCATGGATCAGATACATTTTATAAAAATATTTGGTAACTATAAAATTATTATAATAAGTTAAAGAAATATCAAAACTGCTAAATGTTTTGGCGACCCCCTGCTGCAGGTCCCACGACCTACCTGGGGGTCGCGATCCACAGTTTAAGAAACGCTGGTTTACAGTATCCTTTCAACCCTATTAAAAATAATCATGAATATTGAAATAAGAATTCGCTTTAAGGAAAAGAAAATAGTTTTAAGATACCGAATCCGGAAATAAAGAGGTGGTTGAAAACTGTAACACTTTTCCTTTGCTAGAAAAATTGCTAGAGAACGCTGTTGTTCGATGGCGCATTGTCAGACAGCAGGAAACTACTCATTCGATTGTACGTTTTCAGGCCTAGCTCGCTGAACTCTCTTCAGAACTCTTTATAAAATATGGAGTTCACCATTTGTCAGTCAACGCAAATTCCTGGCGAATTACTCTTTTCCAATGAAAATAAGATAAGAAGTATGGTTGTAATTAAGGTTTCCGAAAATGAAGTTTATGTAACAGTGCTGAACTTATTCCAAATGTAAAAGGAGATTTCTGTTTTATCTCAGGATCGCAAATAAGTTTTAGCTTCAGTCGCAAATTTGTTTGAAATATTACGTTTTTTTTAATCACTTTACAACAAATCATTATTGCTGTTCTTTGCTCAGCTTTCGAATCTATGATGTTAGATATTATCTGCGTCAAGTAAAGGATTAATTGTGCTGAAAAACTGTTCACAAATGGACGATATTTTGGAAGAAATAATTTAAGTTGTCATAGTAATAGTGTTTTTTCATTATCTCATTTGTCTAATATATTCAGAACAAGTACACGGATTTTATCATGGCAAGGAGCGCAAAATTAAGTCTTTCGTTGGCATGGGCCTTGAGATCCATGCCAACGGTCCACGTCCAAGTGACAATAAGACTTTGCCCAAATCCATCCCAATTTTGAAGCACAATCCGAGGGTCTGTCACCCTTCTTCAACTCACTTTAGTTTCGAGTGGTTTGGTAGGGAAAGAGTGAAATCCGTCCCCCTGCGTGCTTTCCATGGAGGTAGGAAGTCTTTTCTTACCTCCATGGTGCTTTCCGTGAAAATTGGAGGGGGGGCGAGGTGGGCAGAGTCGTACTGTCATCTATATGATGCTCAAGGCCCATGCCAACAATAGAAACCATCATGAAACGATACAGTTAGTAGACTTGTTCTAATTAGATCAGACAGATAAGTGGCAAAACCAGTTACCCTCCCCCCAAAAAAAATTTAAAAAAAGGAGGAAAAAAAAAACCTGATGTTATAGCATAGATATTTTTTATCGCACATGACCAAAAATAGCATTACAGCTAAAAAAAAATATGTTTTACTTCATAATGAATTTAACTAAAACCAGCAACTTAAAAGTTTATATATATTATATATGTCGAGTTTTAGTGGCACGATGAGAGAACTGACTAGAATTATATTACAGTCGTGGTTGTAGTGGTCTTCAGACTTTGTCGGCTCGCGAAACTTTGTCGGCACTCAGAACTATAAGGTTTTTTCGTGGAACCCCATCCACAGAAAAATATACCTATAACAATATTCAAAGAAGTTCAACATGTTATAGGTTACTTTATGTAAAGAAAATTAAAAAAAAAAAAAAAAAAAGGTTCTTACTTTTTATTAAAAAATCTTAACATAAAATTAATGTAATTTACTCATTGATACCATTAACTCGTTTTCTAGCTGTCACCTACTCATATGTTTAGTGACAGTGGTCTAATTGCATTTTTCTACACTAATCATCGAAGCTTAGCTCTCTTAATGTTGTCTGCAGTCACATTTTATATTCTGCATTTAATTTGTTTCTATACTTCGTTTTTGTTGCCACATACGTCGAGAAAAATTTTTCATTTAAATGCATTGTCCCGAATTGCATTAAAATGTTTATGGTTGTGCGAGAAACTTCTAGGTATTCTGCACGAATCTGCATTAAAAATATAGAAAATGCTTTTCCTTAGATTTGCATTTTTAAAGTCAAATTTCTTGATATAATTTTTCCCTCTCCTTCAGTGGCAAGCCTTCTGATTTGTCGTAGTAAACGAAATTTTTAACCAGTCATACCTATTTTTACTTCTGGGAAAAATTCGCTTATGGTTTTCTTCAATGGAAAAAAGTGCTCCAGTGTATAATTTTTGACACGGTCTTCTAAATTTAATTCATTTTCCATTAGAAAACAGTTTACTTTTTTCAAAGTATTACGCGTCATTCTCTTTACTATATGATGACCACATGTTAACTTTACCGCCCACCCGGTATACTGGTTAGCAAAGCTGACTGCCGTACCGAAGATCCCGGGTTCGAATACCGGAGAAGGCACGGGTGTTTGTAAATGTATAGTGTCTGTGCGGCATGGGCGCACTCTAAATATGCGGCGAGCCGAAAGTCGTCTCCTACGATTGATGGTAGGAAAAGAGGAGTGGGAGACGTTTGGACCCGTTCCTTGGGGTGTTATCCTTCAATACTGTGGCGAAACTAAACAAAGTCTTACTGTCACCTATATGTTGCTCAAAGCTCTTGCCAACGACTGGCACAATCGTGATGCCCCCTTGCTACAATGAATTTCGTGGGCTTGCTCTGATATCACAGACCTGATCTAATGTTACTGTCGATCGAGTGGGGTAAGCTACAAACAAACAACAACATGTTAAGTTTGAATTAATAAAGGCTAGTCAACTAATGTGAGTACTTCGTAATTTTCTTTTCGAATTTTTATTCTGACTCACGGAACTCTGGAGTTTGACTCGCAGAACCCCAAGGTTCTGAAGAACACTTGTAGAGACATTAGGTTATTTTGAAGTAGAAGACATGAAAAATGAGCAATGTCCTCGCCGGGACTCTAACCTGAACATATCAAATACGCACCGAGTGTGCTAACCGTTCACTACGAAGGCATGCAGAAAGGAGGGAGAAAATGTCATATCAACGCAGCCAGCTGCGAGACTTGGTGTGAATTGCAGGACACATTGAGCACTGATTTTTCGAACGCGCATTGCGGTCTCGGGTAATACCCGGGGCCTCGCCTGTCTGAGGGTCAGATGAGACTTGCCGAAGGAGCTTGCTCCTTTGTCGTATCGGACGTAAAACTCCGTCGACCTAAGGTCTCGTATCCCATTGGCCGAGAAGCGCACCACTTAAGAGGTCGCTCAAGAGCGGGAGAGACGATTATGGGAAAAAAAAGAAAAAAAAAAAAAAAAACACTGAGGACTGAGGACCGCAGAGAGGGCCGTAACCTCGAAATGAGAAATATATACATGAGTTATATGACTAATGGCTTTGTGGCAAAAGTTGATGATCTTATATACATCCCCTTTTAAAAGGCGACTGGGGATTAGGGGACCCAGTCGCAAATCCTGGTGGTGAAGAATCATCATACACAGCCTTTTTAGTTCGGGTGCCACTGTAGAGTGAGTCCATTAGCTTATTTTGCAAGACTCGCCAGGACTCGAAAATGGACTTCTCGAATACGCGCCGAGTGTACTAACCGTTACACTACGAAGGCATGTTAAAAGGAGAGAGAAAATACCTTATACACTGTTTGAACACCACTGGTGAATGGAATGAAGTTAGAAGATGTA